AATTCTTTTCATAAGAAAAAAAATCACAGGCCAAGGTGAACAAAGTTCTACCATTCAAAAAACAAAGAATTTTTATTTTACACAAATTATTCTAAGGAACAAAAGAGGAATACCCACCAATAAATTTTATGAGACTAGTATCTTGATTCCAAAATCTGACAAGAAGAGTACATGAAGGGAAAACTGAACATCAACCTTACTTACTGATTAACGTAGATGCAAAAAACCCTAAACAATATATTGCAAACAACAAGTAGCCATAAATGAAAAAGATATAAAGATGGGTTTGCCTCAGGACTACAAAGTTAGTTCAACATTAAAAATGTAATATGTAGGGGCGCCTGGGTGGCTCAGTTGGTTAAGCAACTGCCTTCGGCTCAGGTCATGATCCTGGAGTCCCGGGATCGAATCCCGCATCAGGCTCCCTGCTCAGCGGGAAGGCTGCTTCTCCCTCTGCTTGTGCTCTCTCTCTGACAAATAAGTAAATAAAACCTTAAAAAAATTAAAAAAAAAAATGTAATATGTAATTCACCACATTAACAGATGAAAAACTAAAAACCATCTAATCATCTACAGAGAAAAACATTTGTTAAAACTCCAAAGCTTTTATAATGAAACTCTAAAAAACAGAAACAAAAAGATATCTACCAAAAACCTTTAAAAGTCAGGGTTATTTATAACAAAATATGAAAGCACTCTTTCAAAATATGAAAAGCACTTTTAAGACCAAAAGTGAACAAGAATGCCTGCTATCATCACACAACAAAATGAAATAAAAAGCATCCAATCGATAAGGATGCCTTCACTATTAGATGACATACTATATGTAGAAAACTCAAAAGACTCCACCAAAAAATTGCTAAAACTGATAAACAAATTCAGTGGTGATTATAAGTGTTGCAGGATACAAAATATATAGAAATCTGTTGCATTTCCATACACCAAAAATGAAACAGCAGAAAGAGAAATTAAGAAAACAGTCACATCTACAATTTCACCAAAAGTAGTAAGACACCTAGGAATAAACCTAACCAAAGAGGTGAAAGACCTGTGCTTTGAAAACTATCAAACACTGATGAAAGAAATTGAAGATGACACAAAGAAAACATCCCATGCTCATGGACTGGAAGAACAAATACTGTTAAAATGCCTACATTGACCAAAGCGATCTATACATTTAATGCAATCCCTATCAAAATACCAACAGCATTTTTCACAGAAGTAGAGCAGATAATCCTAAAATGTGTATGGAACCACAAAAGACTCCAAATAGACAAAGCAACCTTGAAAAAGCAAAGCAAAGCTGGAGGCATCACAATTCCAGACTTGAGTTATATTACAAAGCTGTTATAATCAAAACAGTATGGTACCAGGGGCACCTGGCTGGCTCAGTTGGTGGAGCAGGCAACTCTTGATCTAGGGATTGTAAGTTTGAGCGCCATGTTGGGTGTAGAGATTACTTAAAAATAAAATCTTAAGGGCGCCTGGGTGGCTCAGTTGGTTAAGCGACTGCCTTCGGCTCAGGTCATGATCCTGGAGTCCCTGGATCGAGTCCCGCATCGGGCTCCCTGCTCGG